AAAAAAAAAAGAGAAAGAAAAAAAAAAAAAACATCTCGCTGCCAACCAATACCAAAAAAAAAACAACCCACCAAAATCCAAACCTACCACTGTTGACTCACAGTGACCCTCCGCTGGGCCTCTAAGGCCGTAAATCTGGTCTTTTTTCTTTACTATTTCTCGGTTCTACACTATCCTCCTAATGGTAGGTATGTTTGAGCTCACTGCTGCCCCCACTTTGCTAATCCACCTTACTGAGGGTCTTCCCTTTTATTTTTAATTTCACTCTTTTTCATTTGAGGGAGAGATTACAAATCATATTGCTTTTCATTCAGCCAATATTGGGCATTTTGCTTTAGAGTATTAATTAGAATTTATTAAAGTAATTAATTATGTCAAAGCAAACCCTTACTGTATATCACCTTTCCCTTGGCCTGATTTATCTAAGAACTTTCTTGAATGACAGCTACAATGTTTCAGTGTAAATTCCACAGAAAGTTGTAACAACTTATCTGGCTAAATTTTAATGTCTACTGTGGATGATAAAGGAGCTTTGCTGGCCAAGTGGTAAGGAATTACACTGCCGACCCAAAAGCATTGGTGATTCAAAGTAGAAATAAGCCATCTCCTCTCGTGTGATTAACTGCCTCTGAAAACAAACTGGAGTCTCAGTTATGAGCTCGAACTCGACAGTACATAACGACAACACAGAAGACAGATGTGTAAATTCAAACCCGGTAATGACAACTGATTCAAAATCTGATAAGGTCTGATTTAATCCTTACCTTTTCACTTTCTGTATCCAGAGCAGATGTAGCTTCATCCAAAAGTAAAATATGAGGCTGTCTGACAAGGGCACGAGCGATGGCGATACGCTGCTTCTGGCCACCTGAGAGCTGAGTGCCTTTGTCTCCTACTTTGGTGTCATATTTCTGTAAATAAAGTTTTGTTATTATTAAAAACAGAACTAATGACAAAGTTCTTACAGAAAGCAGGAAGCAATGTCTACAAAAGTACAGAGTCAGAGTTAAAGCTGAGAAACAATGTAAGAGCTTTTAATGTCACATTTAAACCTCTCTTCTTGAAAGTACAGGTTTGGGTTTTAAAATATATGATTTTGTGTAAACAAACCACCCCTTTTATCAAGACTACTCCTATGATGTTAGTCTCTTCCAGTTATCTGTTTGGGTTGGGTGCTGGGTTGGTTTTGTGTGTGTGTGTGTGTGTGTGTGTGTGTGTGTGCGCGCGCGCGTGCGCGTGTGTGTGGTTTTTGTTTTTTTCTGTCAATTTTTTTTATTATTATGCTAGTTTATTTATAAAAGTCAAATACACTGGGTTTTGAGAACAGATTCTTCCAATTTCCCTTCACCTCCCGACCCTATTCATGGATAGGAAGACTCAATATCATGAAAATGACAATCCTACCAAAAGCAATCTACATGTTCAATATAATTCCAATCCAGATATCTGGTTTTTAATGTGGGAGGCAGAGGCAAGTTGTAGGAACAACTCAAACTCCTACTCACTGCCACTGAGCCAGAACCGACTCATAGTTGACACTGTACTGAGTTTCTGAGGCTGTAAATCTCAAGGGAGGAGAAGGTCCATCTTTCTCCCTTGGAATCACTAGGGGTATCTGAACCTCCAGAGCAATGTTACCTTTGAGTTAGCAGTACAACTCCCTAGGGGCTCTGCCATTTGAGCTCCCTACACATAAATGAAGATTATAATACATACAACCAGCAGATGGCACTCTCTGCATAGTTTAAATGAGAAAGGAAGCACTTACTTATGGGATGCAGTCAGCCAGCCTTTGTATGTCTGTATGATGTCTGATAAAACTATCTTCAGTGCTCAGACTTAATCAATGCTAATTCCATTTATATATATAATTCTGAAAACGATTTCTTTTAGAATCCTTCCTAATTTCTTCAATATTGTCTCCCACAGCATATAAATATTCCATAGATTCAAGAACACTGCTGTTATGTACCGTAGAGTTGGAAGTGATCCACAGCTGACCCTCGGGTTTTCAGAAGCACTTAACTGCGTGGGAGGAGATTACCCATCCTTCTCCCACAGAGCAGCTGGTGGCCTTGCACTGTGTGCCTTCGGGATGGCAATCTAGCTTCTTGCCACTAGGCCACCAAAGTTTCCTTAGCAAGAATGCAGTGACAGGAATTAAAGGACAGGTGGAGAAGAGCAGAAATGCAATGTGACAGCATGTGTAGCCTAGAAAACAATTCTACCTTCTTATATTCAATTTCTGTCAAGCTCACATTTTAGCAAAGTTGTGGGCACTGTGTTTCATATTGAGAGACTGACTGTAATTAACATTCTTTTTAAGGTTACCTACTATTATTGGTCCACTTCCGAAATGGCTTGCCTCCAGAAACTCTATGTACAAACAGTGCTCAGGCCGTTCGTTCATAGGGTCCCTATGAGTCGTCTACGCCTCGATGGCATCAAACAACAACAACTATTATTGGCTAATCTGGTAACCCTAAGGAACCCTAGTGTCAGAGTTCACAGTGCACTGAGCTGCGAACTAAAAAGCTGCACATCTCCTGTGGTATGAAACCATTACCTGCTCTGCCAGGAGACGGTAAACCTTCTCTTCCCTGGATTTACAGCCTTGGAAACGAAATGGAGAGTCAGCCCAACAGCAGGAACTGGCAATCCTAGTTCTATAGAGCTCAGAGATTAATCTAGGAATCCTAGTTCTACAGCGCTCAGAGATTAATCTAGCAATCCTAATTCTACAGCGCTCAGAAATTAATCTAGCAATCCTAATTCTACAGCGCTCAGAGATTAATCTAGCAATCCTAGTTCTACAGTGCTCAGACGGAAGTATTTACTGCAGGTGGAGTGAGGAGACCCCAGGAATTTCTGCATTATGCACGGGTCTGGCTGCACCCCAGAGTTGTGGCTGCCTTAGAATCAGGGAATACGGATACATGTCTCATCAAAGTGCAGGGGCCTACAGAATGCAGTGTCCTCTCGAGGCAGGTAAAGTTGGGCCCTGCAGAAGGAGGTTAACCAGATCAGTCTCCTGATGAGTGACATAAATTCAAACATTAATCACTCAGAAGTGGTCCTTACACAGCAAACACGGTGGGAGGTTCCCCTCCTCTCTCCTGGTCTAGACACTGAGAAACAGTCACATGTTTACAGGTGCGCTTGCGTGATACTTGGAGCCCAGACAGGGAGACCTTTCGGTAGAGATTTGCTAGTTGACAAGATATACACGAGATTGTAATTACTACTCTTCATGCTGGCTTTTTGTTGTCCCTTAGTGTAACCCAAGGGAGCTCTGGTGGCCTAGTGGTAAAGAGCTGTGCAGCGAATTCAAAGGTCCAGGAATCAATTCCACCAGGGGCTCTGTGGGAGAAAGGCAGGCAGTCTCCTCCAGCGTAATGTACAGCCTCTCAACACCCACTGGAGGGTCAGCGATGAGTTGATTCTGACTTGGTGGCTACAGGTATGACCAGATGCAATGAGTAGATTCCAATGCATAGTGACTTTACATGTGTCTGAGGAGAAATGTGCCCCACATGGTTAATTTTCGATGGCTAATTTTCTGAAAGCAGATCACCAGGTTTCTCTTCTGAGGTGCCGCTGTATGGACTCAAACCTCTGGCCTTCTGGTTAGGAATCTAGCTAGAATGGTTTGCAGCAGCCAGGAACTCCACCCCTTAACTCAAGTCAAGTCCATTCTGGTTCCTGGAGACCCTCCTTGAGTTTTCAAGGCCACATATCTTTACAGAAGAAAACAGTTTCATCTTTTCCCTGCAGAGTAGCTGGTAGATTCGAACCCCACACCTTTAGCTTAGCAGTCCAGCAAGTAACACACTACACTTAATGCACTATGCCAAAAGGGATCCTTACTCCTTCGCCTGTTGTTACAGCTACTGAGTACGAACCAACTCTTAGCTACCCTACAGCAGATTTCCAGAGGGAGTAAATAACATGGGAGGGGACTTCCCAGCTTTCTCCTGCAGAGCAGTGGGTAGATTCAAACTGCATGGCAGTGCACAACTCCTTACCACTAGGCCATCAGGGCTAAGCCACCAGGGCTCCCTAAGCCTAGAGGTTCACAAATATGTGCCGGCATTAGCCTTATCTGCAGGCTATTAAAACATTGCTGGGTTGTAACCCCAAAGTTTCTGACTCAGGTCTGGAAAGGAGCCTGAAAATTTACATTTATCACAAGTTCAAAGGTGATGGCTGAAATGCTCACCCACAGGCACTCTGGGAACAAACCCACCGGAGTCAATTCCAAACTGCATTCTTCCTACCGGCTGTTAGAGCTTTGAGCCGGGCTGTCATGTTCAAGAAACAACGACAGCAAAGACTCCTCCTCCCTATGGCCTTTAGTTGGGTAGCAGGTTATCCCAACAAGAGGCTAAGGAAAAGAAGACTCCTAGTAAGAGTCTACCTGAGGCTTCCATCCTCCCTGAGGAGGACCTGGCCTTCCCCTGCTGTTTGAGGCTACTGAACTTTAGTTTTTAGGTGATGAGGGCAATTCCTCCCCAAGACACATAACCAGCGGGAGAAGGTAAGTGAATTGGCTGGAGGTGCTGCTAAAAAAACCCCAAACAAATAATAGCAAGGCAGGACCTAAAGGAGCCTCGGGGTAGGTCAGGCATCCCTGGTGATCTTCATTTCTCAGGAGGCATTTTGAGGACATCTGAAGAACAACAGCCCAGACAGCTCCAGGTAAACTTTCAGCACTCAACTAGGAAAGCAGGGATGGAGGGGTTCTACACAATGTGCAATTACATGTCATTTAATTACACCATGGTCACAGTGGGGACTCGGTCCTATGTAACAGAAATTTCTTTTTGTCTGGGGCCCAGCCTCCTGACCTGGCCTGACTTCAATATAACGTTAAAGGCTTGAGAGAGAGCTGCAAGGAGACAGGACGAAGGTCAGGAGAGAAACAGGTCGTGCTTGTTTTCTCAGGAGACCAGAAGTCACTTTTCAACAGGTGGAGACCAAGCACAATGTTACGTTTGGAAGGAAAAGTCCCCCTGACATGTGTAGTTTTCCGAAGGTCTGAAAGAAGGCTGAAACCCACAGCGTCCCTTTTCAGCAGGAAGTAGCTAAGAGAATACGCCATCCCCTTTTCCTTATGACTCAGGGTGAAGTCTCTCTCAGGGA